TATATACAACATACATACATACATACATACATACATACATACATACATACATACATACATACAACATACACACACACACACATACATACATATATATATAAATATATAAATATATATATATGCATGTAGGATTGTATCTATACACGCATATAAGTACATGCACCACACTACAGCAGACAGCTATTTCCCCACTCACCATCAAGACCTGGTTGACCTCTGCCGATGCCGCACTGACAGCCATACGCGTAAACGTTTTGGGAATGACTGAGTCCTCAAACGAAGCGCACAAATCCAACAGACAGCTCGCGAACGAGTGTGGCGACGCGTTGCTAGGGAACTCCTCGCCCGTTGCTAGGCACTCGCGGATGGCCGCTTGCTCTGTGGGTACGCCTTCCTCTAACAGTATGTTTGGCTGAGCAGGTGGCAGGTGTAAATGTGTGGGTTAGTTATATTAGTACCACAGAGTGCATGCGTGTGTGTATTCGGTTACATGTGTGTGATTGGTCTGTGCACAGGTGACAGGTGTGCATGTGTGGGTTAGTTATATCAGTACCACAGAGTGCATGCGTGTGTGTATTCGGATACATGTGTGTGATTGGTCTGTGCACACACACCCCTACATCTGAGCATTGGCGGCACCTAGCACGGGTGAGAGGCCTATTTGAGCAATCCTGTGAAGACCTTCTGGTAGCAGAGTCGGGAGGGTCAATCCATGCCCATGTATGGTTTCGGGGAAAACCCTGAAACCCTAAAAACCCTGCTGATGTACTTGCAAAGCCATGTCCGTAGAGTGTGTTGCACTTTCCTACCTACCACAACTGCACACGTGCCTGTGACAATCATACTAGAGTGTTTGAATATTATGTGGTTGTAACGTGCATGTGCCATTGATACTGGGGTGTTCACCTGACATGTAATTATAACATCTCACGGCATCTCTACGAACACAGAAGGCCCTTCCTGTGCCCTTATGCGTAAAGTGTGAGTACCTCATCTGAGCATTTGAGTACAAGGTACTCCACTAATCGTTTGAGCTCATATGGGACTATCTGCTTGACCCCCTTCTCTTCCCCAGCTTCTTGTGTGGCACGTTGTTTGAGATAGGTGGCTGTGTGGGGTATGTGTCGTAGGTTAGAAGGGCGTTGCGCAAGCAAGCATGGAGTGTGGGAGCATGAGAGTAGGTATGGTGTGAAAGGGGGTGGTGTCATGTGTGTGTTACAAACACGTATGCTACCTGTACACATGAATATGTTGACATGTTCACATGCATGTGTGACAAATAGGAACACGTTCACGTGAATGTAATACGTAATGACACTTTCATATGCATATACCTTCACATGTGCGCATGCATATATGACATAGAATAACACATGCACATGCATATATGATACAGAATAACACTTGCACATGCATATATGATACATAAAAACACATGCACATGCATATATGATACATAATAACACAGGCACATGCATATATGATACATAATAAAATATGCACATTCATATATGATACATAATAGCACATGCACATGCATATATGATATATAATTACACATGCACATGCATATATGATACATAATAACACATGCACATGCATATATGATACATAATAACATATGCACATGCATATACCATATGCGAATATAAGACATACCTGAAGGTCGGATTGGTTGTGTGTTTTCGATGAGGTCAGATAGTTTCATGCCATACGGTGACAGTTGGTACTCGCCTGTGGTGACGATGAACAAGTCCTTCCCCCGCTCTAAATGCAGGACAAGTATATCCTCCAATCTGACAAGATATAAATAGAACAGGATATATTTAGAGCTATAAATAGAATATGCTGTATTTAGAATAGCAAACGTTGTGATTGTTCTATATGCAGGACAAGTATGTCTCCAATCTGACCGAGTATAAATGGAACAGGCTATAAATAGAACAAGCTATATGTAGAATAGCATACGTTGTGATTGCTCTAAATGTAAGACAAGTACATCCTCCAGTCTTTCGGCAGATAACCTTCTTCAGCCGAACATAAAGTACATAATGAAGCATTTGTAGAAGTGATCACTGCTTATACACTTTATATTCGGCTGAAGCAGACTAACTGCCGAACGGACAAAATATCTCAGGTAAAGACGGACTACCTACCGAAGTATACAGTCTAGTTTCAAGCTACCCAGAACTAATAATCAACCTTACTAAAACAAAGGCTACTCTCAGCTCTACATCAAGACGGACCCCGAATACCACAGCTAGAAGAAATATA